TTCAAGCCTCTTTCAAACCCGTATCAGTTATAAAACAATTATTTGAATTTAATCAAGGAAATTGTGGAATTATTATAACGCTGACTCGCCCGGACATTCAAATTTTCCGTGGCCAAAGGCGGTTTCCCCTTTGATAAATTTCCAGCCATAATTAATATTTCCTTGGAAAAGGGGGATTCGGATTTTTTGTAACATCGGACGTAAGTTAACGAGTAATTCGGAATGATGTATATTTTTATTTTATCTCTTTTTTCTTGGGCTTTGTTCAGTTTTCCTTCTTTTGCTTTCGTTGATAAAGTATCGAAGTTTTACGATAAAAACTGTTAAGTGCGCTGTGACTTCCTAAAGTGCTTGACACGTTAAAGTATTATAAAGTGAAAGTAAGTAAGTTAGTTAAATGTTGACAATAGTCTCGTTTATTTACACATGTACTTACTATTTGTAATTGAAAAATAGTTAATCCCTTAGTTTAATCCCGATAGTAGAGTAGTATACTATACAATACAATACAAGATTACCTTTATAGGTACTTGCGTATAATGATATATTATTCACATAAATATGATTTCTTTGTTCAGTTCTCCTCATCAGAATACCCCGTTTTAAATAAAAAAAGTTTTGACGCATTTCATTAAAAAAGATGCAACATTAATTTTGATTAAAACGATGAATGCTATAACACTGAATTTATTTGATGGAGTGGAAAAAATAACAAAATTCACGCTTCCATTTACAAAATTGCCATAATTTCCGCAGGGAAGCAGTTATAACCTCATCTCCGAAACTTTATCTCAAAACCCGCAGTAAATAACCTCGATACGGAGCAGTCTTTATTATTAACCCAAAAAACGAACCATATTTGGATCGTTGGAAACTCCTGACAAACAATAAAAGGTCATGTAAAGTGAGACAGGGCCGCCATCTCGGTTTATATTTTTTTATTTTCTGTCCCAGCAAATGCATAAAATAAAAAAGTTTTAAACAAACTCTTTGGTTCAAGTTCTCTCTTTATTTTACGAGTTTGAGCTCTCTAGTCTCATAAAAATTTTGGTCGAAGTGGCGAAATTTTAGTAATTTAATAACCATGTTTTATTTACTTTATTTCTTGTATACAAGTTTTTTTTATTATGGTACGTAATATTATTTATTTAAGACATTTTTAGAAGAAATATTAAGCCAAAACGAAACGAATAACATAAACATTTTAAACGTCAAAGAAAATCAACATGGCGGCATCATTTACAGCCAAATCCCTAATTTAAATGTTCTTATTTGTTATACGAGAACGGAAAAGACCTCATGATCCATAATGAAGTATAGTCCTATTCTATTAGGATGTTAAAATTATACCATCTACGTCTAAAGAGACTCGGTTTAAAACAAAAAGTAGTTAATTATGCTCAGGTACAAGTTAAAGAGAAAGTTTTACAAGCATCCTTATTGAAGCTTGCATTTTTCTTCTTTGTTACAACGTAGTTTCTTTAATACTTTACTATATACCTATATACATAGTTGTAAATCCTTTCCTTGGTTTTTATTAAACTACAAACTACAATGTTGAACAGACAAAGCTTGTTTAATAAAACCTTGAACGTTGTTTACCTATTTTGTTGCAATTAGGTAGTTTTCTAGGTCAAAAAGAAATTATTTATATTTTTCAATCCAATTAAATATTGAACAATACTTACACTTTCATTCATTGATTTGCGGATATATTTTTTTATTATTATTATTTAACACTTTTTATACAAATTTATACAATGGCGGACTTAATGCCGAACTTAATTTTCGATTTATTTTAGAATTTTTTTAGATATAAGTGTGCTATTTGACGCTAAAATAGGATGACGTCATAAGATAGTATTTCGTACAAAATTCATAGAACAGTATCGTTTTTGATGTTTCGATGAAAGTAGGTATTGAATTTGACTAGTTGTCAACTACCATATACATGTAAATTAGACAAAAAATAGACTCCTCAACAATATTACACGAGGCCTATTATTTACTTATAACTTAATGGTCCTAGTTGAGACAGGGGACATCCATAGAAATCCTTCTACGCGATTGTGTATCAATAGAGGGTTAATTTTATACGTCAAACCTCTTACTACAAACAAATAAATAATCTCCATTTATTTTCTCGCAATAAAAACAGCAAAAGGCCATCAAATGACCACACCATTTTAGTTACACGTCGAGTTTATGACACTCTTCACCACGAGCGTCCTGTTCATGACAATCCAGGTGAAATATCGGCTACAGATCGAGCTATAGAAAAACCAGTTTAACATGATCTCGCTTTGTATAATCTTCCCGCACATCCCACAGTCAGCTTATATTGGTTGTGCATAGCTTGATGTGTACAATCCTATTGCGTCAATGGTCGGTCTATGTCCAACAATATGTATGCTACATTTATACCCGTCACTATCAGACGACTTTGCGAACAAAATGTGAAAGGACCCTTATCGAAATCGCCTTTATCGACTTGACGGAGGAGACATATTTCTAGCCTTGACTAGTTGAAAGCAAATATCTAGAATGTTCTATTATTTGTGTTGAAAAAATGTTTCTTGAATCTAAGGTTGGTATCAAGGTCACACAGACGATCACACATCAACTTACTCTTACATATGTGTGCGTGGAACGTTAAAATTGAAATCTATGACGGTGTACTCAATAGCAACTGTTGATCGTTTTGAATAAAGAACAAGAGTGTGGAGGGCAGATATCTACTGCTCAGTATAAAACCAATTGTTAAAACTTATTCAGTAGAATATTATTCAGCATTCGTATATCGAATGAATAATTCTATAACCTAAACATTCAGACGAAATACCACATTTTTCTTTTCAATTTCGACCTTCAATAAATAAAATACATAACGCTTTCCTCAATGTATTTATACATTGGTTTATGGAAAAACTATAAATATTGTATTAAGGGTTCCCGTAAATCGTACACAAAGAAAGGGGAACACGTTTGGTGGAAAGCTAAATGTGATAAGTCACGTTGTGGTATAAAGGCCTCGGCAACCGCATATGGGAACTTTTGACATATTGTCGTAATATTTTATACGTTGTCGGTCAAGTTTGTTTATTCGGAGATATTTCGTGAGCTCCGTAAATCGTCATTACATTCACGTTTGAGACTTCATGAATATACGTACATATTGTTTCAGGTCTAGGTCTTTGGGGAAGTCTGTGTTCCATTTGACGTGATGAAAATTGTATTATTATGATGTTTCCTACAATGTCTATGATGGTGAAATTCTATATTGATATTGAGTTTTTTGTACTATATGTTGCAGCATCACAATTTATGAATAAGAAAAGTCTTCCACGACACAATTTCAATTTCTCACTACCGATGAATATTACTAAACACAATTTAACGTAAGAAATTCAAATTCAAAATTCGAATAAAATCAGAATCAAAACTCTTTTCTCATTCGTTTCAATAAAATATTATTCAAAAATCGAACGTGCCAATGCAATATGCCAGTCACTTTCTTGGGTGCAATTTGCAATTCGAAGCACGCCAACTGCAATATTTGATTGACGATCATTTATCGGAGAAAATATGAAACGGTGTAGTAGACCTGTTTAAAAGAGAAATATTAAATACCAAGTAGAATAAAGAATTTCTTTTTAAATACGATAGGTGGGTATATTTTACAAACCTCCTTTTTATTATTTATCCTAGAGAGCGAGTAATCATGATGGTTTTATATCTCTTAATAAGCATTTCTAAATCAAGCAAATACGGTATAGTACCTAATATCATAATATACAACCAAACATTACTGAAATTCGTCCCTTAATATTTTATTGACATTGTTTTCTATGTAAAAATCTACTATTGTACTAAATCTTTACATACGTATGTATTTGATCTATGGCTACCCTAAACTTTATAGCTACCTTGTCTAAAAACATTTGATTTAAAATCAAATTTAGAATAAACTTATAGATAAAATTGTGTAGAGTGAAAATACAGTATATTTTTGAGCAAAACAATGTAGTTTTTAACTAGTAGCAACATTGTAAATACTGTGTAAAAATGGAAGGATTTTCAGATGTTATCTAACTAGTTGAGGAGACTGCTGTAGTAAGAAGTGAGTAGGTAAAAGTAGTAAATTTTCTGCTCCACGTCGCAGATACCGAGCGACGCTAGATGAAAATGGAAAAAAATACAACAAACGTTGCTTCTCTACAACTTTGTTTTAATTTGTAACTAAGATGAATTATTTTTATTACTGTTTCAAATAGATAAAAAAATCTAAACTATGAACTGCAAAATTTTAATAATGACGTAATTTTCAATCTGAGATTTGCTCTCTGTTTAAATACAAAACAAAGAAATTAAATCAACTGTCAAACGCAATTACACTTGAGGCCAAAATTACTCGGCCATCAGCAATACCACTTCAAAACTTCAATAACGTCATTTGATAAATGATTAATGAACGGGAATCACAAACATTTGATCTATTGATTCCATACAGGACACTGGCGTGCATGATTGATTGACTAACATACATCAATGTTTCTTATTTTCATTGTTATCCGGATAATATTTCACCGTTGGTCGACGATTATGCCGGAGCGTGTAAGTGATGTTCCGTTGACTGATGTAGCTAATAATTTACGGTTGCTGCCGTTTATGTGAACGGCTCTGTATTTTTATAAAAAGGATTTTGGGTTTGCGATATATGGCAGTAGGCCGAAAGGTTTGTTTATTTTTAAAGGTTTCATCCGAAATATTTTCGGAAGGAAATTGTTTTGATTTTTATGGAAAATTTTAGATAGTATGTTTATCGTCGTTTATAGCCTTATTCAGGAATATTTTCTTGATTTTCTACCCTATTATTTTCATTTTGTGGTCTCTAACATACAAATTACCATCATAACCAAACTAGCATTATATTGTAACTATGTACCTATACTAACATGTAGCCTATCCCTCCAATACTAACGCATTGCTATATTTCCCAGGTCTCACAGCGCAGTCAGAAAGTAAGCTCCAGAATCCGAACTAAGCATGTTCTTGTAGATTTTCAACCATCTACACAAACTACTTCACACCAAACATCTGAGACTTCATTATTTAGTAATATTTCACTGTCACACGTACCTTGAAAGTAGTTTTAATAGTACCAACAAACAGTAGAACACATTACCCTGAATTACTATTTCTAATACACTTACTTGCAAATCGATAGTGTCGTCGTGTTTAACACGCCCACGACATATGTGTCCCATTATTTTGGCACCATGTGTACCTATAGTCTTTTTATTAGCACGTAGCACGACATTGATCTCTTCACTTTCTCTTCGTAATGTTCCTATTTATAATATCGATGTGCAACTAAGCATGACAGTAAATCGAATAGTTCTTAGAAATTTTTGACAATTTCATCGAAAGTATGTATTGACATTACCTAAGTATTTCAGCAATATCGCTTTATATTATGAGCATTGTTGAACAAAGCGATTTTACCATATTTTAGCGAGCGTATGTATAGTTTTATTTATCCCTTTTTGAGCTCGTTGCCCTTCAGATCCACTTACTATTCAAGCATGAAGTAGTATCCGACTACATAACGATACATTTCATTCAATATTTTATTCTAGTACTGATATTTGCCGTATTTGTGAAATAAATATTGTGATTTGTACTAGAGGTAGATGTACACAGCCCAACGACGAGTAAATTATGCTAATGGTAAGTGAGAGTAAGTATTTATTTGATTGAAATACTTCTTGAACATGATTATGAAAGATATTTACAAGTGTTGTTTTTGGTTTATTGAAATTACTGTATAGGTGTACACTAAGTATAATCATCTACAACATATATCATTTTAATGGAATTAAAATAAAAGGTAAATTGCTTTTAAAAACACAAAGTGTTCCAAAAAGGATCTTAATACATTTACCCTAAACTCCAATTTAGTTTAAAACCCCTAAACTCTTACATTCCCTACATCAAAACTGTCGTCCCTTCCCTAAGATCTCGAGCCATAAGTACTGTTTGAAGTAACGATCTCGAATTCTCTCGTAGACAAATTAAACTCCGACAACTTCCATTGAATTACATTATGTAGGAACAATGGATTTCCTTAGATAGTACAGACCCTACTTCCATCAATGGTTACATTCAGACGCTGATACCATCTTTATTTTCAAAGAAGTAAGGTTGATTTTAACTTGGTTTGAAAGGTCTTTAATTGGTCTAATTGTTTTTAAAATTGACGCGGACATAGATTTCTGCACTACAACATAACAATCACAATCTATTATTACTACTAATACTAAAACACACATAGCTCACAAATCTTATCAGACATTAGAAAACATAAACAACAACATAACATCATTTATCCCCGAAAGGGTAGGCAGACACCACATTATGCCACTGTACAATGTACCTAACGCCCAATTTTCACTATTTATTTTATTAGTCCCATGTAATAGGGGGTGAGCCTATTCCCATTTACCGGGCACAATTCCAGACTCGTACTACTACTAAGATTTTTTTTAAAACCCAGTGCCTAAACACTTTGTCCGACCCGGGAATCGGATCCGAGACCCCTTGCCCGGCAGTCGGTACTTGCGACCACTCGGCCAAGGAGGCAGCAAAAAACATAATATCTATAAATACATAACACAACAAAGCATAATTAAAAAATCACAAAAAATATTAAACCAAAGAACACAATATTGTCTTCTTAATAATACACTTTTACAAAAATAGTTTGTGAATATTGGCTGAAAGAGAAAGAAAGAAACAAGGAATTAAAAACTCAGGGACCTCGGCTCGGGCGACGTCTGAGGCAATTTTGTGCTCATTCCAAACTTAGCTATTTGTAAAAAAGGAAATTGCACGTCGCTTTGTTGTGTAAGGAAAAATATCAAAGAAAGTGCTTTTCACTTGTTCATTAGTATAGGCCGAAGTCACACAGCGGGACAATTACAGATATTGCTCTAAATGGGAATATAAATAAGGTATGAGTAATATGGTTATTTAATCCTGGAGAGTTATCCCAACATTAGTGCGGTTATTATACCGTAATATATTCCAGTCGTACCGACTGACACACAGCTGTATCTCGCAGCCGTCGGTGTGGCCTCGACCTTAGAGCCGAGGGACCGTTGAAGAAAATGTTCATGCCAACAACAGTATATTAAGTAAATTCTCCTCACTTTCCCCGATGCGCAACAAAAGTATCATAATCCCGAAAACTTTATGAAATATTCACATTTTTTCTTGAAACTTTGTTAAAATGATCTCCTCGTTCGTTCTTCTCAAGCGAATTTTGCTCAAGATGTATTTTTTTCTAACTTTCCCATACTTTACCAACAATCCAAGCTTTAAATAACCTATTTACAAAGATTTTGTTTTATAATAAGTTCACCATATGCTTTTAAAAGTTAGAAAACATTTTGTTAATTTTTTAGCGTTTAATTCTTGTTGGGCATTATAAAACGAAACAAGAAAATTAGGCCAGTAAACAAATAATAAGCAAAACTAATTATTTTTAATGAAAGCTTTTCAAGAAACCAGACTTTCCAGTTATTTAACATTATTTGAATGTTGAAAGTAACAAAGAGATTACAAATCATAATAAAAAATCTCATTAAAACCTGTCCCAGAAAAGTCTAGAACATCTAGACACGTACTTAATTAGTTCGGGGAGTAGAAAAACAAACAAACTGGTTTCTCGTTTTTATTTTATTCTACACTGTTACAAAAATAAAAACTAAATTCTCTTCTAAAAAACCAAGAACATATCAACCGATTTGATTACCTCAAGAAAAGAAACATTGAACTAAAAAAGCTTTGATTGTGAGGTTCCAAAACAAAATACTGAGAATAATAACGTACAAATACGCTGACACAACAGTTGATGGACAATAAATAATCAAAGAGACGGCTGAATGAAGGATTCCCCAAGATGTGCTGCGGTAGACATATACAAAAAATGCCACATAGGTCGCTGCCCTGAGAACTTTACGTCTGTATTGAGTAGACAAACCTACTGCTTAATATCCCACTGGTGACAGATCGAAAATTATAGAAATATAAATATTCTAAGACCTCTATTCAGCTACGTAGCAACTAATAAGTACCTAATTCCCAAACTACATCCTACCAACACAAGATTAAATGACGTGCTTTCTATTACGTAGGTATGACGTCACAATAATGGCCGCCACACGTATTATGTTAGCCCAGAAACCTGGTTAAGAGGAAAATGGTGAACACTCTGGGGAACATAGAGAAAATGTCAACGGTATGAGTGGGGGGATTAAACTGTTGGACAAGCTAGTGTTTACAATGTAGGTAGCTAGGCAGACCGTGATTAGTCGTATTCAGATGCTTACCGCAACATGTGAGCTGTTTACTGTTTGTACTCGGATTTAAGCTGTCTTTGAGAAGTGGGGATATTATGATGGTTAGTTTGTGTGGTGTATTAAATGCGATTTATGTTGGTATTCCCGGGAATGGTTTATTTTTCGTAGTCTTTCTATAGTGTAGAGTAGATTCTCATGAAAAAGAAATAAGGCAAGTGTGATGTATATCACTTTTAGTAAATCTAATGTTTATTTGTTTTCTTTCTATTCTTTTTAAGTTTCTTTTCAGTGTCTACATTGATGTCGTGATTAGATATTTCTCCTATTCGTGACTGTACGTGAAGAAGTAATTCTTAGAAGTCTTTGTAATCACAAAAATCTTCCCACATGACACGTCTCACTAGTCACGCAAGCTTCTACAAAACGAATAGCAATAAAGCAATAAAGTCTGTAAAACAGGTCTCGTATAAATTCACATTCATGAGATGATAATAATACAATCGTCCCATTCCAATTAAACCGCCATTGATTTTCTGCTACCCTGGTACATGTACAGGCGGCTCAAATACGTAAAGGACGGAATAAAGTGAACGTTCTTTATTTTTATTTACTTTAATTACTTCTGGGAGAAACGCTGTTCTTGAAAAATTGAGGTAATGAATTAGTAAGGAGAAACCAATTGATAGGGCATTCATCATCATTATCATATCAACCATAGGACGTCCAATGCTGAACATACATGCTCCCAATGACTTTCAGATAGGCCAGTTGAAAGCGACCAGCATCCAGTAGCTCCCTCCAACCTTATTCAGGGCATAATTTACTTTTTTATTATTATAACACCTTGTTTGCGGCAGTCATTATGTTATGACTCCCATGATTTAAGTATAAGCTATTTGCTATCCGGATAATACTCGTAACCAGAATTGTACTTCCTAAGTATCCTGTTCCGTAAACCCGGTAAATGCCACACTTTACCCGATCCAAGAACTAAGTCACTGGAACAATCAATACAAATTCATAACACTTTAAACTTCCTCTTTTTCCCCTTTGATGTTCTGTTACCCTGTTACATGAATTACAGATTTCACAATTACATAAAGTCAACGAGGTGAACTGAACGTAGATATTTCATTTTTTGTTTTTACTTTAATTTCTTCTCTGTCAAACGTTGATTGGTTTAATTCTGATGTTCACGAAATATACATTTTATTATATTTTTTTATGAAAATGTGTGTGACCTACATGTGTGATGATGTTATCTGCTCGTTGTGTGAAATTTATTTCTTTATTTTTTAATATTTAAATATTTATTAATATAATATTAGATTTGTTTTTAAAACGAATTTGCAATGTTTTAAAAATTCACACGAACGGGCCGGCTTGACTGGAGTGATACCACGGCCTCCTGCCTATATGAACTCTCATCAATATCATATTCGTGGATTTAAACAGTAAAATCACACTTAAATATTAAATAAATAAGAATTCAATATAAAACACCCTTTAGATACCACATTTACTTTTTAAATACTTTCTACAGTAGAGTAAAACCTTTTATCTCGATTAAAATGTTGAAAACTTACCTTCAAAATCAATTAATTTAATTGGTGATTGGAACAATAACACTTACCGTTATTTAAAATCTTCTTTCTCTT